TCTTCATAATTTTTCAGTTTCCTCTGTATATTGGGTTGTCAGGAAAGTCATGATGTATTTTTTCTATGCAAAAATTTGTCATGACTTTTCCCATGACCCAATATAATCCATTTCTGGTCCTTCTATTCTTTATATTCTCATGGTGCTATATGCTTTCCTAGGCATTTAATAAAAAGTTGTAGCTTCTATTTATTTGGTATAAAGTTTTATTTTTCTGTTAATCATTATATAATTTAGATGATTTTCAAAAAAAGTCTTACTATTTCTTTGATTCAGTTGGGAGATGAAAAGAGAGAGACACTCTTGGCAGGATCTCATCACGTTGTAATTCACACTAGCCGCGCTCCTTCTAGCCTTCCAGTGAGCCAGGATCATGTGCACCCTGTGAGCATGTCCCGCATGTACAGGTTGACCGAGAGTCTGAGCCCAGGCCGTCTTGTGCTGCTCCGTCATTGCACAGTGGTCCTCTACCATCTGTGCATCTGCAGCTTATTTTTAATCCTTATTTATTTATTTATTGTTTGCTTGCTTGCTTGCCTATATGGTCTCTCAAATGAGTATTAAGTATCAAATTGATTTAAAAAAGAAGCATTAAGTATTAAAACTCATCATGTCTCAGGGAAACAGATATGTAGAACTTAGCTGGGCAGCTATAGATTTAGTCACAACTCTGTTTTACAGTAGAGTAAATGGTAACCAGGGGTCTCTGCCACAGATATGCTACTAGGATTTAATTTGTCCGGTGTTGAATCTGCAACCATTATAAAATAATTTATTGGTTCTTTGTCATTGACGCTAGTGATTCTGTACCCTGGTAAAATTTGTACAGTTTTTACAAATGAAGCGTTTATCACTTTAAATACTCTTCTAAATGTCTGCAATTTCTTTAGCATTAAACATTTTTGTCTTAAGTATATTTTTGTACTTTGTTGATGTTTATTAAAATAAATCAGGTGGCTTCTACCTAACATTATTTACTGACATATAATTATGAACATTCTATTTTGAAGTTTGATATCTGCCTTAAAATATGACTGTTTATCTAAATTACACTTACAGCCTTTCCCTCTACTTTCTTTTATATCTGTTTCTCTCAGTTAAAAAAGTAACTAAATACTCTCTTCTATTCTGATGGTTTTCCCTTCTGCTTATCAGAATTTTAGAAAACTCAGCTATTTTTAACTAGATCAGGGTGATATTAAAGAAAAAAGAATAGATGGGTAGCCACAGTGGCACAACGGTGAAACCACCAGGGGAAGGGCTAAGGTTCAAGTTCTGTCCTCTCCCTGCATGTGACAGACTATGTTCGTGCCTTTAATCCTGGCTGACTACACCTGGGAATGGATCGTAGCATGGAGACTATGTTGAGTGTGCCTCCTGCTCCATCTTTTCCTCCTCCTTTTCTAATAAACTTAAAAAAAGAGAGAGAGAGAAGTGATGAGTTGTTTTATATACAGTATATAAATGAGGCAATATTTATTTTTGATAGATATTTTTCTTTATTGGAAAAGTTTAAATTCAAGACTGAGGGGGCCCGCAGTTGGCATGGTGGTTAGAGGTGTTGGATTCCCACATGGCCGACTGCGGTTTAAGTTCTGGACCTGGCGACTTGTTTTCTTGCTTTCCCTTTCTCTCTCTCTCTCCCTCTCTGGTCAAATTTAAAAATACTAGTAATAACAGATGGAATTAATTAAATAAATAAATATTAAAAAATAAATTTGAGACAGTATAAGCTAGAAAACATGTAAAAGAAGTAACAAAATGGTTTTCCTCTTTTTTGATCCCTGATTTTGACTGTCAGTTTATTAAGCTAATTCTATAACTCAGTACCAAAATGTTTGTCTTCTTTACCACAATATGTGCTCCCTTTGGACAATAAAAGACAAATATATTGGTATTGAGTTGTATTTGTGTGTACTTATTTTAAGATTTTTTTTTTGAAGAACAAGTAAATCCAAAAACAAAATTGTTATTTCTAAACCAGCTGAATTATTCTCTTGTTAACCTGTACATGTAATTCTAGATGAAAAGCCAGGCATTGACACCTATAATTCTGGTTAGCATTTACATATTGTTTTAGCATTCATTAGCAATAATTCAGAAAACTCTTTGAAATTTATATCTTTGAATTTTACTTCCTAGCACCCTTTTATCAAGAATGCGAAACCTGTATCAATATTAAGAGACTTGATCACAGAAGCTATGGAGATCAAAGCTAAACGACATGAAGAACAGCAGCGAGAACTGGAAGAGGAAGAAGAAAATTCGGTTCGTAATTATGTTCAAAGAGTTGATTTTCTTTCTTCTGAGTCATTTTTTAAAATAACTTTGTTCAGTTCCTTTAAATATATTAATAGTATATAACTGTTCTGTTACCTAAATGTAATATGTTCCTTCACAGCTTGAGATTCATTAAGTCTAAAACTGAATTTTGTTTGCATGAAATGTTTTTTTTTTTTGAGAGATTTTCACTGTAGGGCGCGTACGCTCGCCAGACAGACAGAGAGAGACATAGAGACAGAAAGCGAGAAATCACCCCCCAGGGGGGATGGTCACGCCGCAATCCCTTCTCCTCCATTCTCCTCTCGGGATCTTGGGCACGCACGCACACGCGCCCGGCGTGAGTTTTAAGCCACCGGGTCCGGGACACGAACCGCGGTCGACTACGTGGGAGTCCAGCGACATAGCCATTACACTAACTGCCGGTTCCCCCTGTTTGCATGAAATGTTTATCATCCTTTTCTGTGTCTTACGAGTTAATGATTAGTGGAACCTAATTTTGATAGACTAGGCTACTACTCTACCTAATATCTAGTTGACACTAACTCTGTGTTCATTACAGAAATGTTGACTTAAACTTGGACAATTTTATGTCCTAGAACTTTTTAGTCTGATCACAAACTATGCTGTCAATAAAGCGTATTATGGTAGAACAGAGTTAACTAGAGAAAGCGGGAGGGACACTAAGGGCCTAGTAGATTAGATCAGTTTGTTCCATTTACTTTATATTGATGTCACTGCATTATAATAAAAAAATGAAATAATTGTATTTATATACTTCATTTTACAGTGTAGTGCTTCTGTCCTTTGCTAATCATTTTTTCCTTCTGTTACAATGTTTTTGTGATAAAAGTATAGCAATAAATACCACTTGGCTTTCAGTCAAAATCTGAAACTATAGATACTTTTAAAATTTTTATTCATTGAAAATTTCTTTTACAACAACATATGTATTTTCCTTAGAAGTTTATCTTATCATTTCTGTACATAAATATCATTATTTTGCTAATTTGAATGCTGAAACTAAGATTGATTATCCAATTAGGAATTCTTTTGAAATTCTTTTATTCTTTTCACCATTTATTAAACTTTGTCTTATATGATAGCCTGGGACAAGGAGAAATGTGCATCTTTGCAGACCTGATTTATACTTTTTTTTTCTTTTTTTTTTAGATGTGCAAGTTATTTACTTGGCTGTAATCATGGACAACCTAGTGAGACCGATGCTTTAAGCTTATAGTTAGATGTAAAATCTTTTACCAATGAGTTCAAACTAAAGAAAGCCTAAGTTTTGCCCCTCTATAAGGGTGTCATTTACCTTGGTAGGCCAGTGAACCACCTGTAGTTATCTGTCACTGGCAGGTAATCAGTTTTGTTTTGTTCTTATTTTCCATTATGATGATAGGCAACTGTCGACTACCTCAGATGATTTTTAAGACCTTGCTGTGGTATTTTGGGTTACTTTCTGGCACTTTCGTGATCTTTTCTTCATTCTTTTTTTCTTTTCTCTGAACTTAAGCCATATTAAACTTATTTTTTTTTATTTCTTAACATGCCTAATATCTTTTTTTACTAATAGCATATGCCTACTCCCTCTGTTTGAAACATTCTTCTTTCCTAGAGGCTCTTTTTTCCTTTTGGGTCTCAAGTTTTGATTATCATGTACCCCAAACTCAGCAGCTTAAAGCTATACATATTTATTACTTCATGGTATCTGTAGATCTGTATTTTAGGAGTGGCTTTGTTGGGTCTTCTGGCTCAGGGTCTTTCAGGAGGTTGCAGTATTAAGTGTTAGAACTACAGTTATCTGAAGGCTTGACAATGACTGGAGGAACCACTTCCAAGACATCTGATTCATGTGGTTGTTGGATCCCTCCATAGTGTTGTTTACAATCATCCCAACATGGAAGCTCACATCTCTGAGCGAGTGATCTAAGAAAGAGAACAAAAAGGAAATTTCAATGTCTTTTATAATGTAGTCTTAGAAATTACATACTGTAACTTCTGCATTCTGCATTCTGTTTGTTAAAAGCGAATTAAGTGGTCATGAGAAATGGTGGAACAGAGAGCTCCTAGAATCTAAGTGATGATCACTAAGTTGGTAAAAACTGACAAACCAATTTTTTCAAAACTCTAGAATCTAATTTTAAAAAAAAAAACTTTTAACATCTAGGAGAGTACCTAAAAGAAAAAAGACTTAAATTTTGTTTAAGAAGTATTAAGGCATTTTTGCTTGTATGTCTACTGTGCCCCATTTTCTATCTCAGCAGTAGCTTTGGGGACATCGATTGATATTTTTTTTTTTTTGGAGAGATTTTTGCTATAGGGCGCGTGCGCTCGCCAGACAGAGAGAGACATAGAGACAGAAAGCGAGAAATCACCCCCCAGGGGGGATGGTCACGCCGCAATCCCTTCTCCTCCATTCTCCTCTCGGGATCTTGGGCACGCACGCACACGCGCCCGGCGTGAGTTTTAAGCCACCGGGTCCGGGACGTGAACCGCGGTCGACTACGTGGGAGTCCAGCGACATAGCCATTACGCTAACTGCTGGTTCCCTCGATTGATATTTTTGATGTAGCATGCTAATGACAAGAGGACAATCAGAACTCTGTTCTCAAAAAAATTGTAGTTTTGCATTTTGACTTGTCTGCTGGTTCCTTGGTTGTTCAGAAATTTCCTTTCGTTTTGGTTCTTTGAACTGGAATAGCTTCTTCCTACGTGGTATTTCTCAAAAATATTTCTGTCTTCTAGTTAGTAAAGTTTCAGTGGACAAGATCAACACTCAGAACTCACTCAGTGTGTATCTGTGTATTAGCAATAAACAATGTGTAAAAGAAAATTAAAAAAACAGTTCTATTTACAGTAGCATCCAAAAGAATGAAATAGCTAATAAATTTAGACAGGAAGGTTAAAGACTTATTCAGTGACAAGTATAAGACACATGTTTAAGGATCAGGAAACTTAATAATGTTAAGATGGCAACATTCTCCAAAGCAATACAAAGAGTAATCCATTCTCTATCAAAATTCCAGTGGTTAGGACCAGTTTGCGTAATGGCTATGTCACTGGACTCTCCTGTAGTAGACCGCAGTTCGAGCCCTGGACCCGATAGCTTAAAACTCACACCGGGTGCATGTGTGTACATGCCCAAGATCCCGAGAGGAGAATGGAGGAGAAAGGATTGCAGTGTGGCCATGCCCCCTGGGGGGTGATTTTTCGCTTTCTGTCTCTGTCTCTTTTTGTCTATCTGGTGAGCGCACATGCCCTACAGCAAAATCCTCTCCAAAAAAAATTCCAGTGGTCTTTTAAATTTTTTTTTTCATAGAAGTGGAAAAATCAATCTTCAAATTCATCTGGAATTGCAAGGGGCCCCAAACAGCCAAAACACATTAAAAAAGAAGAACAAAGTACAAGGACTCATATATACTGTACTCCCCACTGTACCCTAAATATTCCTGTACAATATCAGCTAGAAGTCTGGTGTTTCGTCTTTTAAGTCACATTTAGATAGAGATATGAGCTTTATTGAGTCCAATTTTTCTCAATATGAAGACCTGTGAACTAAAGAGAAAAGTTGTCTGCCCCCCCATATCTAATATACAGTAATGGGGCAGGCAAAAGATGATATCACTGTAGAGAGTTTTGTTCAAAAAGAGGGAATAAAGGAAGCATATGAGAGTCGCTAGTCCACAGTAGGCTTGGAATCTATCCAAATAAGTGTTACAAGTTCCATGATTAAAACTCAGTTCTATTTCTGCCTGTGGATAATTCTTCATT